CCTTGTTGGCTGATGCAAGGTGTATAATCCTCTCTGTGGTGGCGGTGGTTATGGTCCATTCCTTTTTTCTTTCTTTATCTTCTTGTCTTTCAGAATTAGCAAAGCCAACATGAAGTTCCTTCATGGAAGACGCACATCATGATGTATTGAGATAAAGCATGAACTTGGTGTGGCTACTCTCAGAAGGTCTTGAAACATATATTTAAGATTTTATTTATTTATTTGAGAGGAGAGAGAGAGCGTATGAGCAGGGGTGAGGGACCGAGGGAGAGAGAGAAGCAAACTTCCCGCTGAGCAGGGAGCCCGACGCGGGGCTCGATCCCAGGACCCCAAGATCATGACCTGAGCTGAAAGCAGATGTTTAACTGACTGAGCCACCCAGGGATCCCTGAAACATAACTTTTTTATTGTTTTTTAATTTTTATTTTTTTTCCTGAAACATATTTTAAAAGAAAAATGTATGCTGTGAAAATGATGCATGCTAACAAAGCATTTTGTATTAATCATGTTTTTATTTTCTATATTTTATAATAGTTGGACACCTTGGAGCCTTGCAGACCTGGGAGGGACAGCCTCTCAGGATTAGCTAATTCCTAGGAACAGCAAACAACTTGCCCACAAGCATGAAATGCAAACCAACCAATCCTGAGCCCATACCCTCAACCACCTGTTTTCCCATTGTCACCCACCAAACCAATATTCCCCTTCCCCCAAATCACCCCACGGCCAGGTACCGGATAATTCAAGACCACCCCCATAACCCAGAACCTGCTGAAATTATTGAAACCATCCAATCCTAAGCCTTTTCCATTCCTCCCCACAAAAAACACATAAAGGCTAAAGTCCATACTTTTCCCTTGCCCTTTCTGCCCCTGGACCCTGATGCTTCCCCAGATGGCCCTGCACAGGGTGTCATGCCTCTGCTTCTAGGGATCTGTGAGTATCAACTTCTTCCTTCACGACAGTCATTTCTGAGTCTGCGTGTGTTACCATCCATACTCGCTTGAAACTAATCCCGGGTACATTTTAAAACACATTTTATACAGGAAAATTCTATAAACTCTGCTCCCATTTTGCACTCAGGAGGGTAGCCTTGGAGGCAGGTGGGGGTGGGCAGACGGACGGGAGGTGACACAATGGAAGTGTTTCAGCCAGGAGTTCATGAGCCTGGACTCCCAGTTATAGTTCCATCGTCTCTGGAAACCTCAGCTTCTTGCTGAGATCACCACAAAATTATATTAGGTAATTCTAAATTCCCAGTGTCTTTGGATCTAGAAGGCTCCTAAAATATGCTAAAGGAGCAATATATGAATGCTTATGCTGTAATAAAAGGTTGGAAGGAAAAAATAGGGTACAAAATTATACTTATCCTACAATAGAATATGGCTGAAGACTGGAAGAAGAAAGTTTTAATAAAGGGATGGGATTATGGATCTAAATGTATGTTTCAATTTAAAAAAAAAGTCTCGAAGTTCATATCAAAGCAGAGCTGGTAATCCTCTCTCCATTTCTGCATCCTCTTATAAATGCCTCTGTGTTCATTTCTAGAGATTGGAAGTCCAGAATGGGTCTAATTGGGCTAAAATCAAGGTGTCAGCAGAGCTGTTTTTCTTCTAGATGCTCTAGGGGAGAATCTGCTTCTCACCTTTTTCCAGATTCTAGAGGCTGCCTGTATTCCTTGGCTCAGGCCCGCCCACTTCCATCTTCAAAGTCAGCAAAGGTCAGGTGAGTCTTTCTCACTTCCCATCGCTTCTCTGACTCTGACTCTTCCCTCCTTCTTTAACTTGTAAGAACTCTGTGATGACACTGGGTTCACCTGGAGGACCCAGAGTAACCTTGCCATCTCAAGGTCAGCTGATTAGCAACTTCAATTCCATCCGCAGCCTTAACTTCCTTTTGTTATCCGTATAACATATTCCTAAATTCCAGGGATTTGGAGGGGGACAGCTGGGGAGGCGGCATTATTTCTCTCTGGAATTCTACCTCCTTTGTGTCTTCCTGATTGCCCTTGCTCGTTGTCACCCAAACTTGGTGAGGAAGGGCAAGACCCTACACTGTGTTTTGCCTTGGGAACTTGTGGTCCTTTATGGATAATCCTGCCAGCTTGGGAGATGCCTCCCAGTGCCTAAAGCTGGACGTCCAGCCAGCAAACACTTATTGAGCACCTTCTGTGTGTCAAGATCTAAGCCAGCTGTTAGGGACAGTATAAATATGATGGCATAGTCCCTGCACAGGGAGCTCATAGTCTAATAAAGGAGAGTACCCATCCACATAAACATCCCAAATACAAAGCATGAAAGGAAGGCCATGTGAAGCGAGGTGAGGAGAAGTGCTGTGAGCCGTGTCCCCATTCCAAAGGGACATCTGAGATCTGAGGTGCCGCTGGTGGAAGAGGTGAGCCCCCAACCTCAGCTTCTGCTCTACATTTTGAATTTTTTAAGGTTACAAATTAGCATAAGAAAATGTCCCCCTGTTCCACTCCCCTGTCCTCCTCCCGATCTGCTGTCTCCACCTCACGGATCACAGGTAACTGCTCTAGTGAGATATTTATATCCTTTTAGATATATTCTGCATGTGAACATGCTCAAATGTAAAAAATAGATGACTTATAACTATTTCTATTCTATAACATTATTTTGCAACTTCATCAGTCTCTGACCAAATTGAGGATATTTTCCCAAGTAGTACAATGTATATTTGTATATTTCTAGGGTAAGTCTCTAAGCATGGAATAGCTGTGTCAAAAGATATGTGCAGTTTTAATTTTGACAAGTCATCATTCAAATATACGAGGCTGATTTAGTCTCCCTCCAGCTTGGTATGGAAACCACTGTTCCTCCACACCCTCCACCAATGCTGGACATCATCCATCTTCTTAACTTCTGCCAGTCTGATAGGTGGAAAAGGGGTATCTCAGTGTGGTTTTAATTTGCATTTCTCTAATGATGAGTGTGGGTAAACCTTTTTTTTTTATATGCCTGTTTATGTTTTAAATCTTTGAGCCATCTGGGATTTATTTTGTTATAAGAATAGAACTTTATTTTTTCCAAATGGCAGTACTAGCTATTAAATAATTTACATTTCCTCCACTGATTTGAAATGCCACCCAGCTCTAGATTTTAAAAACTGAAAGAAGGCCACCTCCACCTACACTTCACACCATATGCAAAAATAAGTTCAGAATGGATCCTGCATTTGAAAGTAACATATAAAACTTTTAGAAGATAACACAGGAGAGCATCTTCAGGTAGTAGGGATAAGCAAAGAGTTCTCAGGTATGACACCAAGAGTAAAATATGTCAAATTAAAAAATTAATAAATTGGACTCTACCAAAATTAAAAACTTTTGTGCTGTGAAATATTCTGTTTAAAAGACGAAAAGACAAGCTACAAGCTGGGAGAAAATCTTTTCAAACCACACATTAAACAAAGGCCCATATAGAGAATATACAAAGAATTATCAAAACCTCAAAGAACTGGACAGATACTTCACCAAAGAAGACATATGGATGGCAAAGGAGCACATGAAAAGATGTTCGATATCATTAGCCATTTGGGAAGTGCAAACTGAAAATTTAAGACCACAGTGAGATATCACTACATACCTCCTAGAGTGCCTAAAAGACAGTGATAATGACAGATGCTAATGAGGATATGGAAAAACTGAAACTCTCAAATATTGCTGATGGAGATCTAAAATGGAACAACCACTCTGGAAAATAGGTTAGCAGTTTCTTACAAAACTAAACATGCAATTACCATATGACCCAGCGATTGCACTCCTGGATATTTAACACAGAGAAATGAAAACTCATGTTCACACAAAAACCTGTATGTGAATGTTCACAGCACTTTCTTTTTTTGTAAGATTTTCTTTATTTATTTGAGAGAGAGAGAGAGTGAGAGAGAGAGCACAAGCAGGGGGAGCTGCAGAGGGGGAGGGAGAAGCAGGCTCCCCACTGAGCAGGGAGCCCAACGTGGGGCTCTATCCCAGGACCCCGAGGTCACGACCTGAGCCGAAGGCAGACGCTTAACTGAGCCACCCAGGGGTCCCTAAAATATTTTTTGAAATGAAAAAATGAGAGAAGAAAATCACCTTTGCCAAAGACCTTTCCATTGTACACGGCGGTTCTCTTTGGTGGTTGCTTTATCCACAATAACCTACCCCACCTCTCTCCTCCCGAGACACACAACATGACATCCTTTTGAAGTTTCCAGTGGAATGCAAGTTGCCTTAGACCTGGAGGTACAGAAAAGTTGCATATATATAAAAATAGTTCAAAAGAACACCAGCATATCAGATTCACCAGCTGTTAATATTTAACCAGTTCATTTTATCACATGGGATCTATCTCTCAATCTGTATCATTCTTTCGGAATCATGTGAGGGTTAAGTTTCATCCATCATGAGCCTCTGCCCCTAAGTACTTTAATGTTTATTTCCTAAAATATTCTTTTATACCATCACAGTACTGTTAACTTCAGTAAATTTAACACTGATTCGATACTTTAATCCATCGTTCTTATTCCACTTTTATCAATGGCCCCAATGACATCCAGCACAGAGTCGAGACTGTTGTCCTGTGTCTTTGAAAGCCTTGGTAGATCCAGCTCTACTACCAGTCTCTCCTTGACACGGGGCCCTCGGAATTCGCATCTGTAAACTGGGATCGTAGTCATTTACCCACCCTTTGTGAGTAAAGGCGCTTTAACAATCTATGAGAGCGAAACGGATTATCTCTCGTCGGCATCACTATTCCCCACTGGGTCTAAACTTCCGTTGTGGGTGGGAGCTGGAATTTAGGGTGGGCTCCTCTAGGGAAGAGGTGACGGAGACTGTGCGAGGGACTCCCCTTTTCCGCCCCCCTCACCTGGAGTGCCGGGCGGCCAATCCGCGCCGCGCCCCGGGTCCGGCGGCCAATGGGAAGGCGGCGCGGCGCGCTCCCCCAGGGCTATAAGTGCGCCGGGGCGGCGGAAAGTGAAAGTGGTGCGGACGCGGAGGACGCCGCTGACGCCGCCGGGCTGCAGCCGAGCCGCCGGGATGCTTAGGGCTCCCGAGCCGCGGCCCAGGGAGGCGGGGGCGGCCACCCAGTCCAAGCCGCTCACCTCCTTCCTCATCCAGGACATTCTGCGGGACGGCGCGGAGAGGCGCGGTGGTCACACGAGCAGCCCGCAGCCCCCGCGCCAGCCGGACCCGCGGCGAGACCAGGAGCTGGAGCCCGAGCGAGGAAGAGGCGGCGCTGGGGCGCCCGAGGACGAGTGGAGCGCCCGGCCCGGCACCGGGCAGGAGGCCGATGCGCCGGCGGAGAACGAGCCAGGTGAGCCCGCGAGGCTGGGGCGGCCGGGCTGGGCCAGGGTGCGGTCCCGAAGGAGGGGCGGGCCGGCCTGCGGGCTGCACCGGCGCGAGGGCGGGTCCAACGCAGGCCTCCCGGAGCTCCCGCTGCAGGGATGCGGGGCCCCGCGGCAACAGGCCAAGGGACCTCACCGCCTCCCGCCGCGGGCGCGCCTCGGAAACTAACCCTGAGCCCCACCGTCAGGGTGGCGCAGGATTTGTCCCTGGGCTGGACTCGCCGGGCACGGTGTTCTCTGCTCCGCGGGCTCTGGTGCCCCAAGACCCCGCCACGCGCTCCCAGCCACCGCGGGACCCTGGATCCGCGCCCGCCCCGCGCTACCTCTTGGCAGTTAGTTACATCTAACAAGTAACTGATCAGGGTTTGACAAGCGAAGACTCCCTTGGCTTCCCAACTCCAAGGGCAGTAAAACTACATTTGGAAGGTCCCCCCGGCCTTCAGGAAATATAACACCGTTAGAACATTTAGAATAGCCTTTTTACCTTTCCTGTCACTTCGGATGAGGTATCCTAACGGCTTGTTTAGAAAAAGGGGACTGAAGCCAGAGAATGAACTTGCCCTCAGCCTGCGCCGCCTCTCCTATAACACGAACCCTCTCTGGCCACCCAAAAGTTAAGCTGATGCCTTTGGGTCCTGCGTTACCAGCTGTCTGATTCCTGTGTCTTCCCTGCCTCCCTTCTCCCACCTCTTCTCAACGCACACATCTAGGACCCTAGTTAATTCTCCTGGACGATATGGCAGGAAGCTCTACCACTAACGGCTTCTAGAGTTAGGTTCTTGATGACTGTTAGAAAATTAATACATAATATACATATTCACTCACTCCCCACTCAGGAGAGTTCCTTAGTCATGTGAAAAAAGTGAAATGTATCGAAGATGACAGTGGGCTGTTTGTTCACTCACCGAAGAGATAAGGGTGGATTGAATTCTGTTCTCTTCCCTCTAACATGTAACCTTTTCCTTCCCATCCGTCCTTCTCCCTTCTCCTTTCCAGATAGACACTTTGAGACTTATCTGATGGACTGTGAAAACAGTGCAGGCTCCTTACCAAGCCTTCCGCAAACCTCGAAACAGCCGCAGAAGCGCTCCCGTGCTGCCTTCTCCCACACTCAGGTCATTGAGTTAGAGAGGAAGTTCAGCCACCAGAAGTATCTGTCAGCCCCTGAAAGGGCTCACCTGGCCAAGAACCTCAAGCTCACTGAGACCCAAGTGAAAATATGGTTCCAGAACAGACGCTATAAGACCAAGCGAAAGCAGCTCACCTCGGACCTGGGAGACCTGGAGAAGCACTCCTCCCTGCCGGCTCTGAAAGAGGAGGGCTTGTCCCAGGCCTCTCTCATCTCCATGCATAACAGCTACCCTTACTACCCCTACCTGTACTGCTTGGGAGGCTGGAACCCACCTTTCTGGTAGTGCCAGCTCAGATGACAATCATGAGTGGTCAAATACTGTCTTCCCTGGGTTTGCGTCTCTGGAGGGCAAAAGGGGCCAGGCTCAGGGAGGACTGGGGAGCAAGCCACGTGCGTACTGACCCTGTTGCCGGTTTGCATCGACATCCCAGATTCTTCACTGGTGAGCCAATGAAAGATCTGGGACAGTGAATAATATCCAGATAGATCCCCCAACACATGATGTGGGACGTTTTTTTGCTCTTTGAGACCTCCGCCAAGTGGGGAGGGATAAAGTCAAGTGCTGTTTCTAGCACTTCCTGTGATTTCATATGAGCTGTCCCCATCACTCCTGAGGATGCCATTTCCACTCCATCCTCTTGTGTAACTGAACATCAACCCTGAAACCGCGAACCTGAAGGGGAAAAGGATGACCAAGTCGAGGGTGTCACCTCCCGAATTACACTTAAGTTCCAAAACCTCTCATTGACCTTGGAATACGACCAAGGTTCCTCTGTCCCCATAAGAGAGAGGAAGACAGAGGCTCAAAGAGAAGCCTGTCATGCTCAGCACGGACCTGCATGGGATTTGAAGATCGGTACAAGGAGGTGAAAATATAAGCTGCTGCTTCTTCCTTTTTAAATAACACACCGACCTAAGTATTTCCAGGGTGGCCCAAGCAGAACTCGAAGCACTCACTGTGGTTTTAGTACAAGCTGTATAAACAGAAATGTACTGCAAGGGGTGGGCCCGGGACAGAAGACTCTCCACATGTCGGACAACGGCCTGAGGAGGAGCCTCTGCACTGCGGCTGGGCAGTTGTGGGGGGGAGGGCATTACATTTTTTTGTTAATAAAGATTTTAAAAAAGCCTCCTCTGGACCTTTTTGCCCTGGGCCTGAGAATTAGAATGAGCAGTTTCCTGGAGTTTTCAGGCTGTAATTCATACTACACCATGACAGATCACATACTTCTCTCCTATAAACTCCTGCCTTCCCTCCTTTTATTTTTTTGTTCCTTTTCCACAACGATCACCCACCAAAGGGCTTCTTTGCAGCCCAGACTTTTAGTCTGGCTGCACCTAACATATACCTTCCTTATTCAACCTGAGATCTGGTCTTTTTTTTTCCCCCAAAGCTTTATCTCTCCTGGGTTAAAAAAATAAAAAAGAAAGAAAGAAAGAAAGTAGGGTAGGGGGAAGATCCTGAATTGGCTAAAAGATGTGCATTTTTTTTTAACTAGCAATTCTTATATTTTTTTCTTTAAAAACATACATTAAATCCCAAATCCTATTTAAAGACTTGACAGCTCGAAAAGGTCACTGCTGCTTTTATAAGACTTTCTGGTGGCTCTGTTGTTACAGTTCAAAGTCTGACAACCCTCTGGGATCCCTGCAGGCAGAGGAGTTAAGAGGTATCGGGCTTTCACACACAAGGAGAACACAGGGCAAAATGAAGGGTTGGGAGCCGTTGAGCTGTCCAGTGGAAATGCAGAGTTCATGGGCAGGACATGGAGAAGAGGCAGCCAGGGCTTCGGTGAGCTGGGTCCCTGGCTGCAAGCTGAGGGGGCCGATAACACTTTGCCAGCAGGGGCTAAGGAAAAGGAAACTGTTTTCAAAACACATTTTTACTGTGGCGTCCGTCATCAAACAGTGAAACTGTTCAAATACTTCGGGAGCTGTATTTAATGCCTATAAAAAATGGGTCCCCCAAACGAGTCACCTAGTGACTTCAGCGAGAATGGGAAGAGGGCCAAGGAAAAACCTGGCCACGCTTCTGTTTCTACCCGATTGTCTCAGGTGACCTAGTGGAGGGGAGACGTCAGAGTAGAAGAAGCCAGTTATAATGAGGTACCCCGAGGCCTGGAAATCTCTTGATCCCACTACTTAATTGTGTTTAGTGAGAAACCATTCAATTTCCTCCTATTAAAAGGGGGTGATTTACTGTTGGTGGCAAAACTGCCTGAGTTGATAGAAAGTTGGCCCGTTTCACCCCATTTTCTCCCGTTTGGGCTCCACATTGAAATACTGTTAAACGCTCGGCTGCTGACAAGCACCAGGGGCGCAGACAGCAGACTGGCCCAGATTGCTTACTTCTGCTCACAAGGCTTTGAAGAGAAGCATCCAGTGCCCACTCCCCGCTTGGTACCCTTTCTCACTCTCTTTCCACCGGCTGTTCTCCAGGTATTAGAACATTTTACCATGATGTGTATTGTGTTGCAAAAAAAAAAAAAGTCTTTGTTTAAAATTATTTGGTCTATGAATCTATCTTGCTCTTCCTCCATTGGAACTAGTTACTCCCCCATCTCTGTCTGGGTATCTGATGGGTGAACTAGAGGGTGCCTCTGACCACCTCAGACAGCCTGTTGCCCTTCCATAAGTCAGTTTGGGTTCTTCACCTGCATAACAAACTCTGCTCCAGTCTGTAACATGAAAGCCTGTGACTTGAAGTTGAGTAAAGTACCCCAACCAAACTTTATTTTTCTAAGTATTTTCGGCAATGTGTGAGTGTTTTTAAAATAAAATACTGTGACTTTATTAGACGTATTTGCGTATGGGTTTTTGTTTCTTAAACGCTGCATGCTTTTGAGCTTACCTATTTCTGATTACTGTGTTCTCCCTCACTCAGCCTGCCTGACAAATCTAAGGAGACCAAACAGTCAAAAGCAGTAGCTTAGCCAGTGGCAAATGATGGTCATTCTTTTATAAATGCACTACCCCCCGCCCCACTCCCATTCCTGGTAAATCTGTGGAGGGGAAAAAAATTTCTGCCTTCGGTTTAAAAATCATCTGCTCCAGCTCCAGCCCTTTTGTTAAATAGAGAACATCGGGTATTTCCATGTATTTCTGGAAGTCCCTGAAGGGAACATGGAGAGCACAGCAATATTTCTTCTAAAATGCCCCTTGCAGGGGCACCTGGGTGGCTCAGTCAGTTAAGCAACTGACTCTTGGTTTTCAGCTCAGGTCATGATCTCAGGATCCTGGGATCAGCTGAGTCTGAGTCTGTGCTCAGCGGGGAGTCTGCTTGAAGATTCCCTCCCTCTGCCCCACCCCACACTTATTAGCGCTCCCGCTCTTTCAAATCTTTAAAAAAAATTTTTAAAAATAAAATAAAATTTCCGTTTCACCTCCCACCAGCCCCTCCCACTACAACCCTCCCCTGGCTTTCTGGTGCACGTATCTCCCTGGAAATGCCACCTTCATTTAGGGCGGATAGGCCTCTTGGAAGCAACATCTTTGAATTCACTTGATTCACCAAGTATTGCAAATAGGTTTAAAATAAAACAGAGGGATGTCTGGGTGGCTCAGTCGGTTAAGCATCTGCCTTCAGCTCAGGTCATGATCCTGGGGTCCTAGAATTGAGTCCCACATCAGGCTCCTTGCTCAGTGGGGAGCCTGCTTCTCCCTCTCCCGCTCCCACTGCTTGTGCTCATGCTCTCTCTGTCAAAAAGATAAATTCAAAAAAATCAAAATCAAAAATAAAATAAAATATATAGGGGTGCCTGAGTGGCTCAGCTGGTTAAGTGTCTGCCTTCAGCTCAGGTCATTAACCCCGGGGGCCTGGGATCAGGCCCTGAATCGGGCTCCCTGCTCAGCAGAGAGTCAGCTTCTCCCTTTCTCTCCCCTTCTGCCTCTCCCCCTGGCTCATGCTCACACACACTCTCTCTCTAAAATAAATAAAATCTTTAAAAAATAAAATATATAAATAACACATCCTTCATCTGCCTGCACTTAAACCTTCATTAAATCCCACAAGCAGAATGTCTCATGCACCTGATTACTTGAGAGAATTGATGCCCCCCCTCCCAATCCTTCAAGGAAATAGAAGCTTAAAGAGTAAGGTGCTTACTCTAGGTAAAACATATCATAATTTCAAAGTTTGCTCTAATCCTTTAAGTACATTGTACACACAGGTGGGGCCTCCCCGTAGCATGTTCACATCATGAGATTTAACTCTTTGCACAAATCCATAGCCATCCTCCCCTCCCCTGGAAGGCCATTAGCTCTCAAATTACAAAGGCTCTTGTAGTAAATTAACAGATGTGGATTTTTTTTAACCATTAAAAGTAACTAATCCAGGAAATAAAACAAAAATGTTTCATCTCTAGAGAACGTTCTCTGCCTCCTCTTCTTTGTCGCTTTTCCAACTTTCCCTCAGTATCTCTACTAATCTCACACCCGTCCGCTTCCAGCAACTCTGCTGAGCATGCCACATGTTTGTGGTATCTGGAATTCCTTGGCGATCTATCTCTCAAGTTATTTCAGGTGCAAATTGCTAGCGTCACTAGCTTTGTCACTGGTGGTCCCATTGGTCCTCCCCAGGCCTCCTTAGGAAGGCCAGAGCTTCCAGAAGGGGAAATGAACGTCAGAGAGCTACACCTGACAAAAACGTGTTCCTTCTAACAACTGAGCAAGTCATCTTTTTCAGGTGCTGTTCGGATCACACATCTTAAAGCTGGCCTCTGAGAGACCGGTGAAGAGATAGTCGGTTAGCTGGGGTGCCCCGTGATGGAGAGTTTCGGGCAGAAGGTTTATTGAGAATGCACTCGGGAATACACCCAAGAGGAAGTGAGGACAGCAGAGTGAGGAAGCTGACCCACAATGCAGTTGTGACTGAGGCCTCAGCCAATACTTTTTTATTTTAAAGATTTTATTTCCTTATTTGAAAGAGAGAGAAAGAAAGAGAGAAAAAGAAAGAGAGAAAGTGCGTGAGAGCACGCACTCGCGCACGTGTGAGATGGGGGAGGGGCGGTGGGGGAGGGAGAGAATCCTGGACAGACTCCTTGCTGAGCTCAGAGCCCCATGCCGGGCTAGATCTCATGACCCTGAGATCATGACTCTGGCCACACCAAGAGTCGGAGGCTCAACTGACTGAGCCACCCAGGCTCCCCTCACCCTTAAGAAGCTCCAAAGTCAATGTGTCCCAGATTGAGGCAAGAGGGTGGGCACCTGTCTCCCAGCATCAGCCACTTCCTGAAAGCGGAGTGACCCTGGACAACGCAGTTGCCCCTGAGAGACAAAGTGTGAGTCATTAGCATCAGTATTCCCAGAAACCATGGGGGTGTGCATCTCTCTGAAACTGGGGGCTCAGTGGAACACTCCAGAATCCACTGTGAGACATGGGATCCTTTCCTGGGTCGCTCTCAGGGCCAGAGTCACCACCATTCTTCGCAATGAGGAAATCCCAGTCGAAAGGGTCAGACAAGGCTGAGGAGCACCGAGTTCTCCACGGAGACATCCAGTCTTGGCTTCTCCCACAGCCATCACAAATGTGTCACCAGGGCTTGTTTTCAAAGCTGAGAATTATTTACTGCCCAAGAAAAGGGCAGGAACGATAGTCCCGGGCCATGAAGAGCTCCTAGTTTAGTCACAGACTTGGCCTTCATGCGAATGTTCCCAGACAGATGACCCCATCACAAGTCTGCAAGGAAAAGCAGAAGAATCTCAGTCTCCATACCGTGTCCTACTCTCACCTCCGCAAGGGCCCCAGATGCCACCTTGACTTACTCCCCGAGCTTGCTCCGGCCCTGAGATGGGGTTTAGGAGAGATCCCCGTGTGGCCCCTTCTAAGTGGGCAGGTACCACCTGTCCCCAGCCAATCCAGGGACGGGCATAGCCCTTAGTGGGGAGATAATGGGGTATAGAGGAGGGGCGCTACAAAGTCCCGTTTTCTCCTTGGAATGACTGAAGAGACTTCTAGAAGTTTTTTAAAGGCCTAGAAATCCATGGTGGAGCCTGGGGAGTAAATGCTGATTTTGCTCTTGTGAAGGCAGCAGTCCGGCAGCACTGAGTCCCAAATACCGACATCCTCA